CCATTCAACGTAAAGTTCATGATTTCTGTCAAACTTCAGTTGATTATTTCCTTGCTTGTTGAGGAAAAAACAACTTTTACTCATTTCTCATAGATTTTTCAAGCAGATGGCAGTCGGCGATGGTCGCAAGAAACAAACTTTTTTGTTTCCTGCGATGTCATCGCCGATGGTCGGCGACGATTACGGACAATCGGCGATATAATTTTTGATGCGTTCTCATAAATCGCAAAGCCGTCGCCGACGTCGCAAAGCTCCCGTCGCCGACGGTTTACGATGAATGAGAACTAGGCATAATGAAGTTTGTGATTTTACAACTCTATTATAACAGCTTTTACACCAGTTTTGAAATGTATCAAGCAAATTATTAAACTTGTAGTATTTAACAATGATTTAAGAAAGCAATTAACCACTAGTCATGTATTCACCAAAGCAGTAAATTAAAATCTGGCCTTTGAAGTTACGTTTGGCGTATAAATTTCATGCTTTAACTGTTACGAGGGCTTGCTGTCATTAAAGCATGAAATTTATACGCCAAACGTAGACTTCAAACGCTAAATCTTAATTTACTGCTTTGGTGAATACATGACTAGTGGTTAATTTGTTTTCTTGAATCATTGTTAAATACCACAAGTTTAATAATTGTTTAATATATTTCAAAACTGGTGTAAAAGCTGTTATAATAGAGTTGTAAAATCACAAACTTCGTTAGCAGTTTGACGTTTGCCGTAAACGTCAATCTAAAACTCTCTAATAACTTTCAATATTTCTACAGCAACCCCAAATGTTACATGGTCTTCATGGGTAGCACCAGACCGTACCCGCTGACAGTTGTTAGGATACCATAACATCTTCCTTTGTCTTAACAACCCCACATTGTCTTACCAATAACAGTACTGGTCAACAGCACTGCCATGCATAGATACATAATTACTACATCACGGTAACAACATGCTGTTATCACGGTAGCATTAATGCATTTGTTTATATACCATCATAACAAATTGTTTGTTATCAGAAGTGTAACCTCTGCTGTTCCCATGGTGAACATGCAATTGAACTGTACACTCTGTCGTCGTTCTCATGGTGATAATGACGTGTATCTATGACATCGATGAGCATATTCCATTAGGACTTCCCATCTGTGTAAGAACTTTATCTAACCACTGTAAAGGTCCGTTAAGATGTACTTCAACCCAACAAGGTGTACTTGTGATAGTCTGTCTTCGATACTCTGCGCCCCAGCCTTTGACGAAACTCATTCTGATCATACACATCTGAGAGAGACGATAAACAGCTTCGAACCCTTGATTTACAGACTGCGACAGTAATTGTGCAAATTCTTGATTGTTGAATATCTTCAGATTACAACCTGGCGGAATCTTGCATACGGTCGATGGATGCCAGCCGTAGCGGCGATTACAATTAGGACTTTGGACAAAAATACTACTGTCACTCAGGCATTCAGCAAATACCTCACCACCAATGTAATATAGTCGTACACCTTTTCCAATATGACGCCTCGTTGTTTCGACCGCTGGATTTCTGTTGATGTTTGATAAAATACCGAGGCAGAAGCGGTCAGCACTTGAGGGATCTGTGAAACCATCAACAGTAACACTTGGAGCTGACGCATTAAATAGCTCTCCCACTCGGTAGTTCATTTCATAATACGAGATCGAACACCAGTGTTGTGGTTCTTGGTATTGCACTGGGTGGGTTTCTAGCAAAACAAGCAATACAGAACATTAAAAATGTTTTTAGGTTAACGAGTTAACGGCAACTGGATATAACGCAACACATATTTCGCTTCTCTGGTTGAAGTAAATGAATACAATCCTTGAGCGAATTGCATTCAGAACCCAACGTTTCAACACTGGTGTGACGCTATTGGTCAACAAAGTGGAGATACTCTGATGGCGGATAGATACTGTAATATAACCCCTATTCAAAGCATTATTACAAAAAATACTTTAAATATAATCTATTCTGGGATTTGCATATATCCTAATAAGGATCTTACGGATCTAAGCCTGTTGCATTTACGTCCCAAGCACCAACACATACACAGAGATACTACGCTCAGATAGATCTGCTGGGCAATCCTGTGATCGTTTTGATCAGTACGTATTCGGAGACGTGATATCCCAGTAGTAACGGAGCACAAGCCGCTGGAGGTGATCCTGCAAAAGCCTCTTCTAGCAGCACCCAAACAACTGCAGCGAATGATGATGTAACTGCAGAAGAACAACTTGAAAGCTGTCCACAATGGAGGGTCCGAAATATATATCACCGATACCCTGAGCAGGTAATCAAGTCGGTGAATAGAGAGTTCATTCGAGCAGTAGAGAATTTGAAGACGGCCAAGTATTTTTATATCGTTACAGGAAACTTAAACCGCGTCTGTCAGTACATTTTTTATTGGTAAATGCGGTCTTAAAGTTACACGTTTCTTACATTGCCACGTGATTTATAACTTTAGCTAACACTTACCTACAGCCATCGGAGGTTCTGGAGATAGCTGACCTGATTCTACGAAAGCAAAATTAATTTGATGTTAATCAATTTGTTCTTTGCTGATCCACAAAAGGTTTTGCAGAGTGTAGGATAACGTATATTTTGGAAATGGTATGCAAAAAGGGAAAAATGACAGGATTCCGATGTTAGAAGTCGCGTTTGGCGGAATAACAAAATCGACGCAAAACGTGTGGGATAGTAAATATTATAAAATATTAGAGCACCCTCTTGTTATCCTTTGTAAACGAATCAAACCTTACCATGGGGCATTCCTACAACGCTGGAGTCTTCTGACATTCCATCATCTGACATGTATGGCATTAAAGAAGGATCTGTTCCAAAGTAAAAACACATAATAATGAAGGTTTTAACATGTTGTAGATTTTCATTTGAACATAACTAAGTAAACATTCTACTTTCAACTCCCTTTTTTATCCATTACTTGCCCGTGATCAAATTCTGGCGTTTTTGCCTTTCATATTCCCTTCATACCTTCATTTTTCCACTCTTTACTATCTTTTAGCCCTCTTGTTTTTATCCTATTTTTATTTCATTCTCTGCAAACCTTATTTGTCTCCTATCCTACTCATCTTTTGTCTCAGATGGAATTTCTGGATCGAGTTGCACCGTTCACCTACGTCTTGGCTAATAGGGGTCCAGGGTGGCCAGCCCTCCTTGCCAAACCATAATTTTGCGGGCCATATTCAACAGCTATATGTGAAATCTAAGAATTACCCAGCCCTATCAACCAGTTTGGTCAGTTTATCAACAGTTTGGCCCTTGGGCTTTACTTGGAGCTGTTTCCCCAGACCACTACAGTGCCATGTTCAGCACTTTCTAAGAATCAACCCCAGTCCTAAGGATCCTTTCTAAGAATCCACCCCATTTCCAAATAAGAAGCTCAACGTACTTTATTTTTTATTTACTTTACAATCATATAAAAATACAAAATGTTCTACATATTAAAAGTATGGTTGATGGTGTGCTCAAGAGGACATAGGTCCCATGTGAGGTGGTACCAACCTAGCAAAAGTTGGTCGGAACTGACAAAACACTATACACATGGACTATGTACACACCATGTTTGAAAATGTAAAAACAACAGCTGTGTTTTTGTTTTGCGCAAGCATTTTTTAAACTCAACTTTATTTTTCAACAATAACAAATGGATTTGATATTAAACAGGGTTCGTAGCGGTCTTTGAAATCCTTGAAAGTCTTTAAATTTGAATGCAGGTCTTTAAGGCATTTGAAAAGTCTTTAAATTCTTTAGTGAGTATTTGATTATACGATTCCCTAGCTAATAAAATTGATTGATTGAAGAGCAAGCTTTTCGAAAATATCGACGAAAAGGCGCATTTTAGGATGTGATTTGACGGAACTAATTACCGGATACAAATGGTGCAATTTTTCGAAAGCTGATTGCTCTAAAAGGTCTTTGAAAATAGGCGAAAAAATCTTTGAAAGTCTTTGAATTTTTTTTGGTCTTGGAGACTACGAACCCTGTTAAAGAAAATTGTCACCCCTCTTTGCCAAGGCTATGAGGAGTGCACACACACACCCCTGCACCTCCAGGAAATCCATCCCCTCCCCCCTGCCGCAGGTTATTTTCTTTCACCCACGAGAAGTCCCATCCAATTTGCAAGTTAGCCTCACCTGGAGAGTATGGAGACAGCAATGGAGGTTCGGATGTGGGAAATTCAGCATTCGCAGGATTTATATATTCATCAAGTTGTGGCCTTGGCATTGGTGTAGTACGTTGTTCCATTGGATGTATGGGAACCAGAACTGGCGCTAAAGCTAAAAAAAAACAGAGGAAATACATTATGTGATTGGAGCAGAGGACAAACAATGCGTAGTCATTCAAGTGGGATATTGAGGTCTTGTATGCACCCTATAAAAGTCTGGTACAAGATATCACAATTCACAAGCATTGGTTAGGAGCAAGTGGTAAGGCAGACAATAGAGAATTTAAGGTAATTCCGCAGTTTTGCATTGCGCACTTTTACTGCGCACATCTTATAACTTATAATTTCATCCATTATACGTACCGTTTAAAAAAAAAACATTTTATGACAATTTTATGTTACTTCAAAACATTTTTGGTTACATTCGTGCAAAGAATTACGTTAAAATCAATATTTTCAAAAAAGGCATACAAAAGTGTAGCTAGGGTTCCCCGTGTCTGTAGTATATTTATTTACTTGTTTTTCACGTTTTAATGCCACAATTCCCTAAAAAGATCGGAGACCCCCGCTTTTTAACTGATAATTTATTTCTTTAATGCATTTTACATTTCATATCCGAAATTAAAAGAAAAATCATTTCTGGATCTTGAAAAAAAATCCTTTATCAATGCATGTTCTCAAAGAAAGATATGTAAAGAAATGTGGAAAAGATATTTGTGGATCAGAATTGTACACGTTAGTAGTTTCATTTTGCTCAAAACACAATATTTTTTCAAAAATAATTACAAGATAGGTTTACTAAAGCAAAATCCGCGCTAAAAACTTCAATAAATATCGGGCTGTTGTGAGTTTGCTGTTACTCGTAATGAGTGTCAAGATGGCGTCATATTGGGGTAAAGGTGGTATATTGTGATTGTCATATCTTCTTAACGAGTTCGGTGACCCCGACTTTTTTGTGTGATTTTACTTTAAGTATATCATAAACTCCATGCCTGGGAAGTTTCAGCACATTCTCATTTCGGGAACAATTACTGCGGAATTACCTTAAGCTTCGCGTTATACGTCAAACGGCAAACGCCTGGCAAAGAAAACTTTTACGGTATCAGGCAATAAAGAGTAAATGATCTTGCTGTTTTAAAACTGAAATACATAATTATTCTTTCGACGCAAGAAAGAAACTATGAAACGAAAACGTTCAACGACAATTTTGCCAAGAAAGTTCGAACCTGCCGTTCCCGGAAACGTGAAGCTTAAACTCCCTAATCACACACATATAACGTCATTGTCATATTAAGTAATGACTAATAAATAAAACTTAAGCTTAAGTACTATTTAAAACACGCGTATAAGTGTTTTATCATATTTAAAATGCGAGTGCGCAGCACGAGCATTTTAAATATGAGACACAAAATATACGATAGGGGTAGCTTTATAACATAAACATGTCGTTTTATTTTGAAAAAACCCCAGCTCAAATAACCCTGTTTCTCGGAATTCCAAAAACTAAAGCGCGTGAAAATGTTTTCGTTGGGGGAAAGATTCAGTTTAAAAATTCAATCCAAGATTGAGTTTTGACCTCCGTTTACCGGAGGTCAGTTGGTGTTTGGATCAAGCCCAGGAATCATATATTCCTTGCTATATTGCAAACTTCAAACACTCATTAATAATTCATAAGCTTACTGGCAAATCATGTCAACCATAATATGCCACGTGAAGAGGCTTTATACCTGATAAAACTTATCTTCATTAGTATTCTTTATATAAAAGTCCACCCTAATTAGTATTCTTTATATAAAGAATAAAACTTAAGCTTAAGTACTATTTAAAACACTTGTAGTCGTGTTTTCTTGTGCCCACCATGCTTAGATGGCAATGCATGTTTGGATTTCTGGTAAAAATGTCGATCAAATCAGCACAAAATGAAATGGAATGATTGAAGAGTAACAAATATTACAAATAGAAAGTGAATTTTTCGAACTAAAATCTAAAATTTACACAACCTTGAACTGGAAGAGTGAAAAACCGCAGAAAAAATACGCTCGAATACGATAGTGCGTCACAAAAACTGAATCTTCTTTTCTAAAACGGGGGTCAGCAAAAGTGCTTGGATAAAGCCCTGAATGCCAATAATGATGCCAGAACATAAGCATTTTGTACAATCTGTTCTGTCTGTGTAGGATTCCTCACAGTTCTGCTGATAGAGAAATTCAAACCATTAGAATGGACCATTTGCATTATAGACTAAATTTTGATCTAGACAAGCCTAGACAAAAGCATGAAAGATCACAGCTTGAAAGAGCATCACAAAATTAGTAATAACCAAAGTTTCGTTGCGAAATGTTGTAAAATGCGGATAATATAGCCTTGCGAAGTTTGCCGTTTTTCAGTCATTTTGTATTACGCACGGGAAATTGACAGCCCAATCGGGTGTTGGGGCATCAATTTCCGTTTGTAATACAAAATGACTGAAAATTGCAAATTTCGCAAGGCTATATTATCCGCATTTTACAACATTTCGCAACGAAACTTTGGAATATTACTAATTTTGTGATGCTCTTTCAAGCTGTGATGAAATTTTTGTCTAGACCAAAATTTAGTCTCTAATGCAAAATAATGGTCCATTGATAGTTGTTTCGTGAAGTGTCCGCCTCTGCAGTTGTCTTTAGTTAGCTTTAAGCCCCGTTTACACTACGCTCAATTTTTGGTACGGCACGAATAAAATTGGTACCCGTACTACTTTTTTTGTTCTTGGATTACCTATTTAGCTAAGCCCCGTTTACACTACGATCAATTTTTGGTACCGTACCACTTTTTGGTTCTTGGACTACCTATTTAGGTAGTCCAAGAACCAAAAAAGTGGTACGGGTGCCCTTATCCGTGCCGTACCAAAAATTGAGCGTAGTGTAAACGGCGGGGCTTTAAACGTTGGGAAAAGCTAAGGGAAGACAAGCGATGATACACCAGCAAAAGATGCCATGAGTGGTAATATATTGCTGGGCTAATTTAAATTAATAAAGTGCCTCCGAGTGGAACTCATAACTTCAGAATGTGCGTGCAAAAATTGTATCATATTTTAGGTGGTCGTGAGAGCTAAGATTGCCGAATGTCTGATTTTAAGTGAATTTTAAAGTGTGCCTGTCTGCGAGCTCACGCGCTTGCGCGTTTCAATGATGCCTGGAAAATAACATCAAGAGAGATTTACAGGAACAGATATTGACCGTAAGCGATGCAATGGATAGACAACAATGATACACGCTTAAAAATCTCACATCTTGTAGCAAGTCTGCCAACAAGCTGTCGACAAGTTGTGTTCGCACTGCTTGTGCCAAGTTGTCAACAAACGTTTGGAACAAGCTGTTAACAGTTGTAACAACCTTGTTGATATGATCAGACTTGTTTGTTACAAGGTTGTTCCAACAAGTCCGATACAGTCGGCATAGTACAAAACATGGACTGGACCCAAAATTGGACTCAAAATTGGACCCAAAATTGGACTCAAAATTTTAGCCAAAATTTTGCCCAAAAATCCATTATTTTTTTCCGGAGAGAAACAACCCTCAGACTGATATCGTGCTTAATTGATTTAATTTGTATAGGCAAATAACTTCACGTTCCATCACATTTCCTTGACCTATCTAGCTATTTGTCTTCCAAAATTCTATATATATTCTATTTTCTAAACGTTATCTAGGGTATCTCGTAATTCGTAAATAATAAACCTTTGTGAAATATCTTTGCGCAATGGTCACAAATACATCACATCGATATAAATCATTCCATCAATATATTGATGTTAACATCAATATATAGTTATATTTTAATCATATACATTTTGTGTCTGTATTATTAATACACCCTCTATATATTCCGGCATATATATCCTCTAACGAGTAACGAGTTCGCAAAGTTTGTTTTGTCCAT